AATAAGAGGTGGTAATGCTTTCTTCTGTTTTTTTAATAGATCTGTGAGATATGCAAATTAGACACAGGTAAAACGATCTGTAATTAATTAAGAGAGAGTAGGGGAATGAAAGAGCAAGGTGCAAAGTGGCTGGATAGCTCACTAATTGATAACAGGGAGTGCTTAAGTGGGAACAACTAAACTAAATTGTATGAAGCTGTTAAGAAGCTTGAAAGGGGCAGAACAAAGCTAACAGTAGCACAAGCATGCTAGCAAGGGGGTGACAGAAAGTGGAGAACAGGCAGATAGATTATTGTTTCTTCTAATAAATGGATTGGAAAGCTTTCACACAAATACAACACAGTCTGATTAAAATGTAAATGTCATACAATCTAATTCCAATTCAGCTTTTTTGAATTCTGGCTCTTCAGCTGCTGGAAGTAAATTTTATTGTAAATGGTATGAAATGCAAATGTGTTTCTTTTATTCAGCTGTGCTTATTGTATGGAGTCTTGTAACAAATATAATGTTTTATTAAATAAGCCTCCTTGACTCACTGACTTATTTAGTTTTTTTTTTTTTTTAGCATAAAGAAAAGAGAATTATGACAGAAGCTACCTCAACTGGAAGTCCAATAAAGAAAGATGTCACAGCATTGGTTACAGTCACAGTTAAACAAGTTATTTTTTCTCCTCTTCTTCTAATAATCAACATCTCCTGTCTGTCTGTCTCACCGTTCCTCTCTCCATGCCCACGCTCTTTCTATCACTCTGATGTGCTAGTTTCTATGTATATATTTCTCTTTGCTCTTATTGCATTCAGGTGGAAGGAAGGGTTTGAGGTGCTAACAGTAATCATACGCCACCACCTCAAGGCCCAGACATAGACATCTTATCCCTTCCACACACACACATATGCAGAAACAGAAATACAAACTGATTATAGTAATCAAATCTAAGGCTTGGATGGTCCAGGTGATTGCATGATTCTTTTTGGTGTGTGTGTCAGTGGATGCATAACCATATAGTATTTTTCTTTGGACAAATTCGACAGCTGTGGGTGTACTGCAGTGGTAGAAATGGATTTCTGCAAGTGAGCATATTTGTGTTTTTAGATGTTCGTCTTTGTGCCACAGTTGTATGCATGTACGTATATCTGTACTTTCACAGCTTGTGCTTGCACGTTTAAATGTGAAGCATGGATATGCCTTGTTTGGAGGGTGGGCTGTAGGCTGTTTGCTTGATTTGATCACAAATAGTGCATAAAATTAAATTACACAATTAATTTTCAGTTTAGAACACTTTATTCAATAGTAACACCCACTTTCCCTTTTCAAGCCTTCCCCACAATGTGCTTAGGCATGCTTCGGCATTAACATTTTACCCCCTTGCACATGGAGGCAGTGTATATAAGGCAGGATTAAACAAAGAAGGCATCCTGCATTTACAATATTTCCTTGGTTTGAAGGGTTGTCTAAAGAGTGGTGTGTGTGCTACTTTTATTTATATACTGTATGTGTTTGAACATGGAATGCATGCATACAACATTATTAATTCTACCCTGCTTTTCTCAAGTTATACTTTGGTATGAGCAGCAATCCGTGACTCTACAGTAGTCATTTGCTAGAATCAATGATTTTCTCTTTGTTGGACTCCTTCAGGAGTAGATTTAGCTCATTCCAGAATCAAAATGCTGTTTGGCTGTATCATAGCCACTCAATAAATGCAAACAAGAGTGGGGTGCACACTAGTAAGATGCTGCAGATCAGTCTCAGTTTTCTCTGTCTGCTTTCAGTCTTTGAGAAAAGGCTTACTTATATTGACACTGAGTGATTGGATTTCTGCCGAGCCACAAAGCTACTGTGTGATCTTCTGGCTTCAGAGAGTGTGAACTGGGCAGAAATGAAGCTACTGTGGAGCTGGTCAGAGAGGTCAGAAGGATCTCTGTGGTAGCATTAAGGGAACGATGCCCAAGTGACTCCTGCTTACCCGTCATGTTGGAATTGAGTTGTTAACAAGGCTGTAGTAGCTTGTTAGTTTGTATGTGTGGACAGTGCACATGTACACAAACATGGCAATTTTGGATGTTAGCAGTATTTGTTGTAGCTGTGATTGTTTTTTGTTTGCGTGGCTGGGTGTATGAGAGGGAGAGAGTGCGTGTATTGAAACTTTCCAAAGCCCCAGGAGTCATTTCTAGTGTTAGGAGTCCCTTTTGCTAATTAGCATGAGACATCTGTCCAGACAGCTGCTGGAGGGAGGTCACAATGAGAGTAGTGGAAACCTGCATGCATATGTGACCGATGGTGACCCGGTTACACATATAAACATCAACATATACAGTACATGTTTACGTTATTTTACACACTAAATTGCATTCACAGATAAAGGTATGCACACATTTTTGCATTGTCATGTTTAAACAAAGTCAATTTTACAGATAGGTTTGCTTAGCTTTTTTACAGATAGGGAAGGGAACAGGGGGTGACAGTAAAATACTTTCCTTCACTGCTCATTGTTTCTGTTTTTGTAGTATGACAATAGTTAGAGATGAATATAGCATGAACTGACAAAACGTATGAATAACCTTTACTATTCTAGTGATTCTTATTGTTTATTTTTCACATACGGTCCCATACAAAGCAGCGTCAGAAGGAATAAGTAGGAGCAGAGAGGAACAGTGATGTTGATAGACAAGAACAAAAGGCAAAGATTGAATTTTGCGTCTGTCTCCATCATTCTCCTTCCTGCCTTATTCCTTGTCTCTGTCACAGCCATGTTTCCTATAGAAAGACTATTTTATGGCAGCAGTCAGTGTTAAAATAATGAAGTTTTATGGAGACTCTGTGGAAGATTAAACTACTATTAGCCATGCTCCGTCACCCTTTCCAGCTGTTGCCTTTTGTTTATGGCTAAAAAGTGTTTTATGACACACGGTGCTTTAGTCACCTAGACAATTATAGCTAATGATGTATGAGTGGCACTGTATTTTTTCACCAGGAGTAGAGGGGAGAGAGGGTTGGACAGAGAGGCGAGTAAAGGAGCAGGGGCAGTCAAAGAATGAGAAGTGAGCAATTAAACAAGTGCATAGATGATCTGATGAGAGGCAGGCAGGAGCAATGATAAGAGAACAAAATTAAAGGGTAGGCTGGGAGACAGTTAAGAGGGGAGAGGCAGAAACAAGTGTTTCAGACAGAAGAAAGTCAAAAGCAAGGTACAAAGACTGCACTCTTATCCTTGTTCAGAAGTAAATGATGTCAATTGAATGAAATGCCTTGAAAGTGTTTTGTAAAGAGAGCAGTGGGTAAAAGAACAGAGTTGAAATGATAGATGAGAACAGAAAGAGTGGGTAATGAATGACATTACTCTTTGTTTTGAGTTAGTGAACAAGAGTAGAACACCAACAAATTTATGAATGTTTTTCTACCGTATAACCATTTTCTTTTTCCAGATTCTTAATGGCATTGTTCCATTCATTCTTTAGAAATGTGTCCTTTACTCATACTTAACAGATGTTATGTATCTTGTGTCCAAGCTTACATTTCTGCCTGTTTCGGGTCGTTTGTCCCTTCCCTATCGGAGGCATCTCATTAAATAACCCTCTTACGATAGCGGGAGGTATTGCAAAAATTATGCCAATATTAACAACATGTCACACTACCAAGCTTTACAGACCTTTGTCTTCATGAAAAAGCTGAAAACGCATTGGCTAGCTAGCAGGATAGCTAGCAGAATGCTAATGGAACTCTGTCATAACTATGATGTTACGATTATGAAACCACCACAGTTTCTTTGTTTTATTTAAGGAAAAAAAAAAATTGGTTATGTTGAGGAGCAAAAGAATATTGTTCAGATTTAGGAAAAACCTACTTGGTTACATTTAGAAACAAAGCCACATTGTTATGTTTTGGAACAAAAACACAAACCACACATTAGAATTGAACTTGGATGTCCAGAGGGAAAGTCCTGTATTTTGTCTACCTAGCCATCCACCCAGCTAAAACAGACTTTGTGTCTCTATATGTCTAATCCTTTTCTCCTGTCATCATTAATATGGTCGCTGGTTGCCAAACTATAACATTTTGTCATAGTAACCTGCTGGCACAAACAACATATTCTGTAGCAGTTTCCAGGAGGACAGTGTTGAAAATGAGGAGACATAAAAAAGAAGGGTCAGGTGAGAAGAAGACAAACGCAGCAGGAGTAAAGAGATGTTACCCTTGAATGACTGAGAAAGGGCGTCAGACATTGACAGAGTTTTGATAACAGGAGGAACACTCGAACAAGCAGATACACAGTGACCTGCTGTTGCTGCAATATAAAGGGAAACTTATGACATTACAACAGAAATGATGTACTGTAGGGGTGTCTGGATTTCTAAATTGTAGTTGGTCTCATGGCACCATTTCAAAGTCTTCTTGCTGTAGGGTTTAACGATTATGTAGTTACTGGTTAAGACATGACACATAAATATTTAAATTGCACTAGAAGGTTTTCTTCTAACTGTCTGTGATTATGAGACAGAAGTAGAAACAGAGAGGAAGAGGGTGAAGTCCACTCAAAAATCTGTGTATTCCGTGTAAATTAGTGAGAAATGTTGAGATTTAAGGATGGGTAGGTGTTTGTAGGTGTTTGCATGTCACACACAAGTGTTGTCATATTTGCATGTGTTTTGTAAGATTCTTGACAGCTACCTTGAGAACCTTTTGATAGAAGTTTTCTCAAATCACTTATGCCAAGCTTCACACAGAGTTTCAAGCTTGCACATTTCCATGATGTTCTTTTTCATAATATTCACACTTCAGATACCATGAATCACATTATCCAAGCCAGAAAATATCTTAAAAGGTGACGGTACAGACTTGCTATTTCTTTGAAACATAAAAAAGACACAACTTACTCCTAACTTCTTTCTTTTCTTATGACCAATCACTTAGAGTATGTGAAGCCTGCTTATTTCTGCCATACCAATGACATCCTTTCTTCCCTATTCTAAATGCAGTGGTGTGTTTTGTTGTGTTGCAGGTGGTGGAGACCAACTTGGTGGCCTTTGATTGTCACTGGATCCTGATTAATGAGGTGAGTGTGATGGAAATGATTTATGGATTCTGTATTGCTTCGCCTTTAGTTCACCCTTTTCTTTCAATTATCCAGGGTATATTTATGGTTTTAGATCCTTAAGCCTGATCTGTCTGATTTTGTTATTGTCTTAGATGTCTCAAGGACAGAGGAGAGCTTAAAAAGTTGGCTTCTTTTGTTTCACATCACTTTATCCAATACAACACAAAACATTATTGCCAAGGACAATAAAGTTTATTTTAGTGAGCTCCCGCTGTTCTTAACCGCAAGCAAAAACAATACAATAAAGATTTTATATTTTATGCTCACCACTTTTTTAACATAGAGCCATGGTATGCAAACACTTTTTTTTTTAATTTTCAAATATGGCAAAGGTGGCCTTGGAGGAATTCCGTTGGATTAGCATATATCTGCTGGTTTAAAATGAGTATCGCTACTGAAATATTAAGGGGTTTTTGGATTAATAAGAGCAGACAAGCACTGACAGTGCACAAAGTCATTCTTCTACTCCTCAGAGTATAAAGTTTTTTGTCCCGTGAGTTTTTTTACATCCATGTTCATAATCAACGGTCAGCATGACTACTGGACAAAAGAGACATCCAACTAAACTTGAACGTCAGCTATAATTTCATATTCATTTTGAATATAAACTCCTCTTTCATCTTACTTCATGAGAAGTGTGTTAAAAAACAACATTATCAGTTACATTTGCATGTGTGTGTACTTGTAGCAGAAGGGCCTGGGGAATGCACCAATGAGTAATGTCAATGATAATGTCAATGAGTGTCCCCGCATAACTGGACAAACCTGTGTGTATGAGGGTGTTACTCGTGTTGTGAGGACATGAACATGTTTACACAGTCACACTATGGGGACTTAGCGGTTATGGGGGACAAAGGCAGTTCACCAAAATGTAAATCATTACACTTTAGAGTGATGACTTATTTTGAGGTGGGGTTAAGGCTAGGGTAAGTGTCCAGGAAATTAATGTAAGTCAAGTTACTGTCCCCTGGAGTTATCATACAGTAACTTGACTGTGAGTTTCTGTGTGTGTGCACGTTTGAATGCGCACTGCTAGCTAATGCACTGTGTCTTGGTAGCCTTGGGCTTTACAGTAAACTAGAAAGGCACAGCAGGGGGTTCAAGCTGCCACACACTTGTACAAACAAAGGCAAGTGTGCAAACAGAATCACATACACAAGCAGATGTACTGAAAGAAGAGCAAAAGTCAACATCTGCAGGAACAATTAAATTCTAATTTGGTACAGCATTAGCAAACACTCGGCTGCTTTAGCATACTGCAGTTTCTTTCCCCCCATTCCGTTATCATAGACTGTAAGTATAAAAATGCTGCTACTATAAATGCTGCAAGGCTCAGAATTCCTATTACTTGTTCAGTTTTGAGAAAAAAAGTATGCATTTGAAACAAATATTAGTTTGCATAACATACATTAATGCTGCAGAGACAGCCAATACTGTGATTTCCTTCTGATGTTTGCTTTTAGATTGTTTGAGTTGCTGAAGGAAGGTTTACATTTTTTCATACTTGATATGCAGGACAGGCTGCCGTAATATTATCACATGCCCCCTAAGTATATCAAAAAACCTCTCACTGTTATTTTTTGCATTTTTTAAATGCTAATTCTACCAGGGAGTGAGGGACAAGAGTAGCCTTGTCCCTGCACCTTGCTGTTTTGAAATGCTTGTACTGTCTTGTTTTTGGGTATTCTCAATTTGTTTTTTAAGACGCGGCCACACTGAGCAGCAGCGAGTTCCAATAGCTCTGTCCTCTTTTGTGTTTTTTTTCTTTCCGTGCTTTCTGAATTTGTCTATCAAGATTGGTGTGTGGTATCTGTTCTTATGGTGCCTTGTTGCTTGCTCTGTTGTTTTTGTCCCTTACTGCTGCTGGAACACTGGAATTTCCCCACTGTGGGATAAATAAAGTTCTACCCTACCCTATCCTACTCTAATGAAGATGGCAACCTTATCACATGTAAAAATGGGGATAGATCCATTGATAACAACCTGTCTTAATTAGTTACTGGCTTCAGCAAAGAATTGTTATGCCACTTAGGTAAATGTGTCTCCTCTGCTTATTGAGATTGATGTGTTTTCATAATATAACACTCGAGACTTACTACTCGCATAAAAAAAGAGCAAATTATCTATTGCATTAAACCTTTCACACAACATAGACGGCAATGTCAAAAAGATACTGTGCAGTCAATCATGTATTGACTGTCATGTGGGCTAAATCCACATCTAGCCATGAGATAAATTGCCTCCACAATGCTTTAAAACCTGTTAGCTATCTGTTTCTATATCTGTTCATGCTTTCTGGCAGCTAACTGCTCTTTGCTTAGCTTTGTGGGAGACTTATCATGTTATTCTGCAGCCTGCATGTATGTCTAGCAGCATGTAGCCAGTAATGGTTTGTACCTGCTGCTTTCAAGGACTCGGTGGTGAAACGTAGCCTAGCAGACCTATCCACCCTCAGTTGTAAAATATCAAAATATCAAAATAAAATATCACTGAGGTATGTTTTCTCATTCTTATTGTTGTAGATTTAAAAGCAAAGCTGACAATACAGCATATAAAGTTTGTGTTCACAGGTGCAAATCACATCAAGTTAAGCTGTGTTTATTTCCTAAGTCATAGGAGCTTTTCTATTCACAAATAAGAATGGAAAGTGACAAACAGTTCAGTTCCTCTAGATTTACAATATTAATAACAATTTGTAGATTTCAGATTCCAATGGCTTTTGACAGCATTGTAATATAGTCTGGTAGTCACTCGTAGGTGGCTAATTGCAAAAAGAGAGCGGTTGACAGCTGATAACACCTCAGCAAACAAAATCCTCACAGGTAACCACTGAAGCCTGTAATGTTAATGTTAGAGAGCTCAACCACCAGACAGTGAGGAATGCAGAAGCTCACATCCTCACCGATCGTAAGTGGTAGATGCAAGCCAAAGTCAGCCAGGCAATCAGAAGGCAGCAGTGCTAAGAGATTATTGGGTGAGTGCAGACAAGAGGAGTAGGACTGGTCTAAGATCACCAAAAAAGAGAGGAAGGGGCTGGTGGTGTCAGAGGTATTCAGGATGGAGGAAAAGCACCATAAGATCAAGTATGTGTGACAGGGCTGACATGGATGCTGGACAACCTTGGAAGATGTTAGCGTCAGAAAAAAATCACTGGTTCCGACCTATGGAATATGACACAGGCAAGACTAAGCTTTCTAATCAGAGCAACATGTGATACACTCATCTGTCCACGGAAGGTGGACCACTGGTTTGACAACAAAGAGTGCTGCTGCAGGAAGGAAGTAGTCAGAGGGGGTGCAATACCCTGGGAGAGCCTCATCTGGTTTGCCAGGGAAAGATCCAAGCCAAGTGTTCCATCATGATATTCCCCCTACCAACAACTGGAGCATTAGGTTTGACCTTGATAGAAAGTTCCACAGTGAGATCCCCTCCATAGCCCTCCACCCTGACTGTGCTGGGATCATCCTATGGGGCGAGGGAGCAGAGGCTGCTTGTGCAGTGTCCTAAACCTAAACATAAAACAGTTTATTCATCCTGTAGTCCCTACAAGTAAATAATGCAATGTAAGATCATATATTTTGATGGAAACAAATACACTATATGTTAACATTTTACTGAGCAGTATGAGCATGTTTGTGACTTGGCAGCTACTTAAATTAACAACGTGTCCTCATGATGTCAGCAGAAAATGTAATCCGATCAGATACATTTTCTACAAAGCATATTTACTTTGTGCTATTTTTATTGTAATAGATTCAAATAAATTATAAACTGGTCATCTTAACCCTGAAACATACTCCAAAATATTCCAGATTATATTACCAGTCATATTGAAAATACACTAATCATTTCACTCAGAAATGATTAGTGCTCATTAACTGTTTTTCAGTTCATTTGCTGAGCAGCTAGAAAGTATTTATGTCAGGTTCTCTGAAAATTAAGTGAAAAAGTGGCATAGTTATAGAAAAATAAGTCCAAGAATTAAGTTAAATTATAAATTTTAATTTTATTCCAAACCAGGTAAAAATTAATGAAGAAACAATACTTGAGGCACAGATTTTAATTGTACTAAAAATCATAAATGCCTCAAATAATTTAAATAAAAGCTTCACGCATATCTAGTAATGATACAAAGTCCAAAGTCCTAACTCTGGTTATCAATGCTAAGATTGAAATATATTCCGATTGTTCGGATGTAGACACAATCCTCCTATATGTAAAGTCCTCTAGCAGAGTGCTAAAAGTGGATGTGATTACAATATTTTTTCATACTTAATGTATTTTAATACTTTGGAGAATGAATATTCCTGTGTGTTAAAGTGCTCTCCCTCCCTGTGCTTTATTATAGATGAGGTGGTACTGTATGGTTGTCATAACTCTGCTTTATCTACAGGCAGCAGTCACACAACCCCACTGACGGGGAGTTCACAGTTCATAATTGATCATCCTTACTCTCTCCATCTCCTTCATTTGACTCTGGATGAGAGGATGAGGAGGAGAAATAATCAGGGACAAAAATGGCTTCTTCTTTTTTCTGTCTTTCTCTTAAGTTGGGATAACTCCACTACTGACCTTTCTGACTTTTTCTATCTATTCATTCATGTCTGGCCTTTTTGTCTCTGAAAGGAGCAAGTGCATGTAGTAAGATGGGGCAAGATTAGGCTTTTTATTCTGTCATGTTAGGTAGCTAGCTACCTAACATGTAGGGCTGTATGTATGTATGTAGGACTTTATTGATCCCACAATGGGGAAATTTCTGCAGGACTGTATTGATGGCTCTTCACAAGGTATGATATCCTATAAAAGTCATCCAAGCGAAATTTTGGGGACGGTCATGATTTGAATATAACTGAAGGGTTATGTGGTCTTCTGTAATTCAAAAACATTCTACAAACCTCTGGATAATGAAGTTCCATCAAAGCCCATTTTACTCCACCAATGTGAAGCAGTCAATGTCACAGTGATCTTCTGAGCTATATAAGATATATATTTTGTTTGTGTGTGTGTGTGTGTGTGTGTGTGTGTGTGTGTGTGTGTGTGTGTGTATTTTATGATTCTGAGATCCAGTCAATTTGAGGAACTGGGCGTGTAACTAATATTGTGTATTAATAATAATAACTGCTGTGCAGATGTCAACAATTAACCACAATGGACACAGTCATGGCGCTTAACAGCCCCATTTAGTGGTTAGTGATATAAATGTATGTGAAAGTGAACTCAAATCATTTTGAAACACTGTGACCTGACAAAGATGTCGTGCCATTCATTGTTCTGGGAAAAAAATTGAAGATGTGACAGTAATTTTAGGGTGCAATCTCAGCTAAGTTTGAGAACTTTATTATTTACAGCTACCAAAGTACTTTTAGAGAGAGAACAAGTTAACAGTGGTGCACATTCTGTGCACAGCTGGAAGTTACCCAGCATGATTGCAGCCCTGTTCTTGCTAAGCGACTCCACTATACCTGTTGTTCAAGGCAAGTGTGATTCCTCCTATCCAGATTCCACTGCACAGTCTAGGAATCAGATTTTTTTTATCACAATTTTGTCTTCTTTGTTATTGGTGCTCATACAGAAGCTGTTTTTAACAGTGATAAAATAGCCTTACCTTGTTTTCTTCCTCTTTGGTACTGTAATCCATTGTCATCTTAACCTTAGTGCTTTGGAGAATGAAGACATACATTCCCCGAAGGTTTTCTCTTGTTAACTAGTCATTAACATTTGGTCTATTTTTGTACTCTGTTTCATTTTGTCAGTCTTATTCATTCATCTTGCTACACCTACCTTAGCTCTGTCCCTCCTCTCTATTTGATAGTTTTTATGTATGTGGATGTACAGTATTTGAACTCAAGTAAATCACCCTGATCAAGGCTGACATTTATTAAATGAAGAAGATTGTTCCACTTAGTCAGCTAGTGTTGCTGAGTTATTCTTACAGATTCTGGATTTGAACCCAAAACAGATAAAATATAAGACACCCAACTCCTGGATGTAACAACATT